ACTCCTGAGACTGTTGCACTCTTGTCAATTCTCGAGTTGGTTTGCATTTATTCAGAATTAAGAAATGGGATTACAAGAACATATCTTTTTGTAGTCACTGTTTCCCTTTTAAAGTCTAACCCTCTGTTCTCACAGTCATTCAATTAATTTACTTCTTAACTTTATGTACCTCTGTGGATGTAATCCTGGTGACTAACTCTTCAAATTAAAACTTTTAAGCAATATTGCGCTGTACTGTTGTTAGTGTTTAATTTTTTGTGTGTGTCTGTATGTGTGTATGTGTGTGTGTGTTGGCAACCAATGGAATTTAGGACTTCTTTTTCAATGTTCACTCTAGGGCACTTGGTTTTGCAAGAGATTAACCAATGCGGTACATAAAAGAATACTCCATAATCTGTTATCTAAGCGCATACTTGTCTCTCTCTAGGATTGTTTCCTATATAAATGATATTAACAAGCTTCGCCTATCAGTACGTACCTCTGCACAGGCAATATCCTGATTGAGTCTCTAAACCCCTTTGCAAAAGGATTGCTGTCAATTTTTAGACGTGTAATCTGCAATTTATGATATATAACCTTAAGCTTGAGCTGCAATACCTCATGATCGGGAGTTTTTTGTCTCTGTCTCCGAAACATTTAGCTAATTTATCATCCATGGAATTTTGTAAAGCTAGTGGATAAAACGAAGGGCCCAGACCGATTGGCTGTTAGTTAAGCTGCAACCGAAATAAGATTATTGTAGGTGTGCCAATTCTGGATCGATTTGTGTAGAAAACAGACTTGAAACAAGACTTAACGCCCTCTTGCAACCTTACTGGCAAAATAAACATTTTTGTTTCAAATCACCACGCTAAAGATTAAATAATGCTGCGATCCCCGAGTATCCTGAACATAACTTATTACCGCATTTTCTTTTCGTGACCCGTCCACAGTGTCTGCTATACCGTCAAGCTGTGAGAATATTTTGTTACCCTTCTCCTGCGACGATATCAGAATATTCATGGCACTTTGGAACCACTTAGATTAGCTGTAAGGGGAGAATGTTTCAGACTTGTAACAACAGTTCTGTGCCCTGTGCAACAGATAGAACGAAACTAGACAAAAACAATGTTCTCGTTAGCTCGTTCCTGACACATACTTAATTCCATATATACTCAGAAATAGTGGAGATTACAATGTAGGGCCCATACAAGTTAGTTGCCTCACCTGATTTTTTCCCTTACNTTTGTTCTAATTCATAGTTACATAACAGCCAAGCAGTTGGAAATACATGATGTTGGCAAGAGCAAGCCATGGACTTGGCATACCGAACGTTCACAACTTAACGCACACTTCATTCCAATTTCACTTTTTATAAATATCACTTTAAGGAGTTTACAATTGCTCAATGTAACTAGTTAGCTGGTTTCGTGAGTAATTTTGGATAGCATTCACAATACCTGTCAGTAAGCCAATAAATAAAACATGGTGTGAAGTATCCAAGTCACTGCGGTCGCCTTTGCAAAACAACCGAATCATTTAGACCACATTATCGCACACGAAATACTCCGTTTCAAGTATACTGTTTTTCATCGCCATGAACGTTTATATCAACGTCTTGCCACCACGGTGAAATCACGGCGTTCGGTAAGACTTGCTAGCGTAAACATTTATAGTTTGGTATGCCGTCTGCGGTCAGCTTGGTAATGGCTTCGTGAAGATTGTTCGCAAGTTCTCAATTTTGGTTTCTTTCTAAAAGAGTAGTTGTTGGTTTTTAAGTCATTTAACTATTCTTTAGTTAGTCAGGACCTTAAGAACATCTCAAAACAATAACCTTTCAGTCGTACATCGCTAAGGAATACAAAGCGGCTTCAATCTCACCTTCCTGACTTTGTTATGATCATTTCTGTTCCCAATTCATTGAAGCGATCCCATAGATCGCGACTCTCTAAAGTAGCTGTAATAGTTTCTATATCTTCAGAGACTTCTAAAGCAGAACAAGTCCCATTAGGAGCATCATCGGTACCGTTTTCCTCGCAAGACCTAAGCCTCTTTGAAGATGTACAACCCGGCACGTGAGTATCTTCACTGGCGCAGGGTTTCTTCCTCTTGGCTTCATCTGCGCCTAAAGATAATAAATAGGAAGGACTCAAAAGTGTTTAGATCTATTCAATAATCGCTTCACTGGGAAGAGGGGTCTAAAAATACGAAATTTCACCGTTCCCCAATTCCCCAAAACTTGCAGTGTTCGATATTATTACTTAGTGATCGATGAGAGCCAGTTTATCAATTGTCAAGGCGCACAAGACTACCATTCGAGATCAAATACAATTTCAATGATTTCACAAGAAAAATGAATTCCCAATGATCGAAATGGGATCCAAATTCATCAAAACCGTTACTTCTAATACTTGTCTTTCAAGCAATAGTTTACACCGAATGATGCGAGAACTGAACAGATACGAGAGCAGCAGAGTGTATGAAATACCGTTTTCGTCCGAAGCCATCAAGGACGCAATCGAGAACGCTGTAGCTTTGGAGGAAAGGTGTGATTGTGCATTGCGTGGATCATAGCATTCTCCCATGGCGTCCGAGTCTATTTACAGTTCCCTAAATCCTTCATCTCACCCACTGTTGTCTCCAAACAAGCCATAAACAGCAATTAAAGGAACTGTTGATTGGATCTTGGCTTATGCGTTGTGTAAGCCAATCAAAACCAACTGGGTGAAACTGAAACACTGTTGATTCACACTAAATACTTCTAATACGAATATTGGTTTGTGGGTGGTACTGGGTTGTGTTTGTGAAACTGCGTTTTGAGAACGGAATAGTTTGTTTGCAATGTACGTTGTAATTTTGGCATCGATGAATTAATGTTCGTGTAACGTAAAATGGCCAGAATCTCGCACATTCCAAATCGGTCTAGACAATTTGACATGAGAATTCGTTATCGTACTCTGCTTTCACCTCCGATGACCTGCCCTGTTGGACTACGAAGTAACAATGCACAGGATAGGCTACAGGCAATTGCCATATTATTTCAAAGATTTGCTTCCAGAAGCAATTACTTACGTAAAATACATGAAATGCAAAATGAATATTCTGAAAGGTTGTGTAACATGAAGCGCATTAATATATGGACTGTAGGGAGACAAGAAAAACCTGGAACATTCCTTGGAGTTTCAGATATTTCCTGTCATGTGTACCTTGTCGTCTTAAAAGTGCAATTGTTAATGAACTCCAGTAATGAATTTGACTAGTGCCTGCTGCAAGCCGGACTTCGGTTGGATGTCTAACACTGACATTTGTAAATAAAGGCCCTCGCGGAGAACATCAGTTATTTGTGCTAAACTAACAGGTTTCGGTTTTAAGACAGACTTTTTTGAACGAGATATATGCCTCGTAATTATAGCGACTGCCACTGACATGGTTGTGCAACAAGGGTTGTGTTCATCAGATCAGAGTCATACTCCTTTCCTTACAATCACTAGTACAGTGCCGTTGTATTGCGTATATATACATGTACTTACCTTTGTACAGGCTGCGACATTAGTCGTAAACTACAGTTCCTTGAGCTGTAAAAGCAATAATTCAAGACCAATTGACTATCAGACTTAATCAACACCTTCTACGGATACATCCATGATCATCTTAGAATAATGCACCTTATCTTTAGGGTTTTTAAACTTCATTTGGTTTACATATTTTCTTTTGAGTCTCCACCCAGTGAGAAAACTGGATGTTCTACCGAACGCGACCTTTTCTGTCATTTCACTGAATAGGCTTCGACTTAGCTGCACCTGCTGGTAAAGTTTCTGGTATAAACATTGCTTTTGAGAAGGAAGATGAGAAAAGTGTTGACAACATGTTACATAGTTTGTTTACGGACATCTGTTGTTCCAGATATCGACAAACAGATAAATTTTAATAGCATTTCCGATTCACATTTTAATCGAACACCGCCAAGCACTACCATGGCCAAGTGTGTCAAAGCTAAAAAGGCTCGTATTGTCTTAGGAATGTGTGGGGGATATCTAATGGAAAAAAAACAATTCCTGATTATACATGTATCATCCTGAATAAAGTTTGTTGACAGTCATTCCAAAGTAATCCGTTACCTCACTCCAAAACAGGAATGTTATCTGTGTTGCTATTATGTAGTCACCACGTTGACATCGATAATTGCTGAATTGAAGAACGTTTTCGTCAATGATAGCCATTTTACCGGTGGTTTATCCTCAAGTTGAAAGCTTCGATAGACACAAACAGCAATAGGGGAAGTCGTTCGCAGAAACAATAAGCTACAGGTCCCGTTGCTGGATTAATCCAGAAATCCTTTTAACGCAAATCACGTTATCCAAAGCCATTGGTAGAAGTTTGATAAGGCACTGGGTGGTGACATTTTCTGAATACTTTACCCAGGGCTATATGTCACGATGCAAAGTTATCTACGTTTTCCGAGGAAAGAGAATGACAGGCTCGGAAACACTCGCATTGATTAGGTATGACATCGAATCTTTTTTCTTACATGATCACTGCAAAACATATTTCTTCGACTGTCTTTCTTTGACTAGGTTATCGCACCCGGGTATCGTGAATGGGTCAAGCGCTGACTTTTAAAATAAAAGTAACGAAAACATAGATAGAAAATAAAAATTCCATTTTTTGACCCCGGCGCAAATGTCGACGCATCCAATTGTCTAAAAGACCTTCAACACGGATTCGTGAAATCAGTGCTAACATCGTAAAATAACATTTATTTTGGATAGTCTTAACATGACCACTTAGGAAAATCGGCTTATCTTATTAGTTTTTCGCGGGTCTTAAGTTGCAAATTGAGGCGGGATGTGACAAACATAGGTGTCTAACAAAAATTTGTAATCGCGTATTAACTGACGATGTATCACCGGTTTCCACACGACTACACATGAAAACCGGCACACTTTGTATTTGTTTTCGGTGTCTTTGAATACTGAATCAAAAAAGATTAAAGAAAGAGAATGTAATAACGAAAAAATGGATAAGAGATTGATGATGCCAAGGAGCATTAATAAACAAACGAACAAATAAAAAAATAGACAAGAGAAAAAGATAAATAGAAATAATTAAATAATGTGCAAATAATGATCAAAGTAAACTCAAGAAACACCAAGTGCTTAAAGTGGCAGTGACCATTCTAAGTTAAACAAACAAACAAACAGTTCGTATTCATCGCTGAACTAACCTCTGGCCCTGGATAACAAGGAGGCCCACAAACCCAAAAACAGCCAGCTAACCTGATACCCAACCATCTGTTCTCAATTGGCCTGTCTTGATGGCCACGCATTTTCCCTTATCAGGACATCTCAGCCGCTTCCAGCCGTCGGTAGGATCTTCAATGTGCCGCCATTCCCATGACATGGGGTTATCAATGTATCTTTTTGGCTTCTGTTCACAGCTTATATTAAGATCATTTTACCAGATTAATAAAATGGATAATCTGTCCGAAAATTCGACAGAGTGTATTACAGACAGTGGCACATGGCTATTGTAGTGCGGTGCTTAATATTGGTGGTACTCTCAATGAGACTTTCAGTCCACATTCAATGAGTCCCAAGCCTGTCACACAGGCACAAATCACAAGCTAACTCGCCGAGCAAATCATTGCACACTCAACACTTGATAACAAACTGTACTGATGTAAAGGTGCTGACAGTATACCATTCTTATATTTCATTAGCATGTTTAAAGTTGCAAATCGCAGTGCCTTGAACGTCCTAAGGAGCCCTGCGTTAACTATCATAACTAAATGATGATCTGAAAACTAAGCTTAAACTGTCAACATGAAACCACTTTTTTAACTCGGAGGAACCCATTGACCCTTTCAGGTGGAATGTCAACATAAATATTCTCTTTCCTCGATCTAGAAACATTTCTTGATAACTTTTCAGGCCGTAGAAGTTGGCGTGTAATCATAGCCATCCATTGGCGAATTTTTTGGAATATAAATTTCTCGACTCTCTTGTCGTGTCCGACTAGGCGTTCTGTTGGTAGCACTTCGAGAAATAAAACACTTTTTGCGCCTTTAAAAAAAGGATCAAATATAGATTGCAAGATAAGAATGCAAAATGCTTGAAATGCTTGGGCACGAAAATTCGCAAAGGCAAAAAGAAGGCCATCGCGAATCCAGTAGGAATATGGCTGAGGCCTGACATAGTTTGTAGAATATACCTTAGCGCTGGGATTGATATAATGCAGTAGTTTTGTTTGTGCGGTCGGATTCGATTGATGCGCGAAAAATTCGACAAAGCAACATCGGTCGTCAGTCTTGGGTCTGTAGACCACGACGTTCTTATAATTAGGTAATATTGGACAGGAAACTTTCTTTTTTCTATTTCGGATTGATACATTACAAATACAGTTTATTTTGGTTGACTCTAAACTTTGCATGTTGACATTTTTTCTAGCTAAGAGCACCCATGAAGTTCTACTGTAAGTTAAGGGTGATGTATCTCAAGTCCAATTAAATTCTATCTGTTAACTTGGTCGAGCTCTTCTTTGGTCAAAGACAATGAAAAGATCTTGCAGGCGAGAGAAACTTTTAAACGCCATACGATTTTTTTAAGCTCATCCTGAAAGGGCATCAAATCTTAGGGCCCAATCTGAAATTTATTTTCTCGTACGTTGGGCAATTCATCTTTGGTTCCTAAATTCAAAGATTTTAACTGCGCTAACAGACTTAAACAACGTACATCAAACTCATCAACAGGAGAACAAATACTTTAATTGGTGTGCACCATTTAAATTACCTGCTTGCGAATGGTGAAAGTTTTGTCTTTCCTTTTACATTTCTTCATTTGGAATTAAAAATTTTAAAATATATATCAAATACTGGTAATAAATATGTAACTTAGAATAGAAGAAGTTAAGAACATACAGACAAAAAGATAGAAAGGTGGTTGATCCAATTCTTTAGTTATTTACTTTAATTAAATATCATTTTTAAAATCTTTAATGTAATAGAGATGGAAATCGTCTGTAACACAAAGGGAAGTGTAAAAAGTACAATTTAAAAATATAAAAGAAAGATATCCAAAGTTGTTAATTAAACTGGTCTATAAGACCTACCGCTATCTGCTCAAAACGAGGACTTTTTACTTGTATATTTGAATTACAAACACGAGGCAATGAAGTATGTCAGATTTCGTGAAAACCTTTAGCTTTATACAGAAAGAAGAAAACAGATGTGCAAAATTGTAAAATAAACTCTTCACGTTAACCGCGAAATTTCCCTACGAAATATAGTAAACAACGTTAGGATGGCAGTTAGAACTATTCGCAGTTTGTGAACTCGTTATTTAATTCTTCTCCACAATGAAGTTTAATTTAAAATTGCGCCTTAATGGCTACCACTAAGATATAAAACGAGAAATATACTTAAATTATCGTACATAGTGGGTGGTCAAATGCTTCTTATTTTACAACGAATATGGCTAAAATCCGGGCTTGCTTTTTTTAAATCCACCTAAAAGGTCTTTAACTTGGGTGTTCAGTGGAACGTTTCTTTATTAAATACCAGAAGAAAGATGGAGAAGGAAGGTGAAGCAAGGGCGCGAAAATCGTTGTGCTTAGACATGGGCCCAGAGCCAGAGACAGAGATGACGTTATTCTTTGCATGTGCCTCTCGACATGAGGGTGGTATCTATGTAAAGCTTCCCCATCGTTATGAACACTCGACAGTTTATCCAGACTTTACACAGTTTAGAAGCCTGAGAGCTCAGAAGAACGGCAATGTTGAGCTAGGGAACTCTCCGTGAACGCTGTAAGGTGGATGGGGAGGTACCTCCAGTGTTCCAATAGGCTTGGGTGAAGCAAATGTCGGTGATAGTAAATTAGGTAAGCTCTGCTGGCGAAACGCGCTCAGAACTCCCGTAAATGGTACCCTTGGAATAGCTGGTGATGGTGGTGGAAGACAACCTTGAATAAACGAAAGTAAAGGACATAAATTAAAAAAAAAAGACTAAGCAGGAAATCACAAGACGTTTTTAGAAGTTATTGAAGGTGCAACCTATAAAAGCGGGTAGCCAAAATTAGACGCCAGACCAGTGGAATGTATTTTTAATGCCGTTCTTCATAAAACCACAGCTCTCGGGTATCCAGTTAGATTTCTTTGAATACGAGTTAACAGGAAAATTTTGACGGAAAGAAAAATAAAGAGCTCCGATGCAATTCTCCCATCAAACAAGAAGACAAAAAGGTTTATAAAGGAATAAAGACCCACTATTCTTGAGCAAATTGAATCTAGTATTAGGTTTCATTCAAATAAATTTGTCTGGGTGTCGATGAACTGAACTAGGAGTGGATCCGATGCTTTCTCCGACTTAGGAACTTTCCAGAATTTTCATCGCACAGTGCAAATGCTTATATGAGGAGTACTCTTCATAAAATTTTCAAATTAACCAATTTGTTTTCATGAAATTACAACTGCCAGAAATAACAGTATCCATCCTTACTATAAGCAATCATGAACTATTCCGAAAGCAAAATTCGCCCGCAGGATTTCCGAGATCTACTAAACGAAAAAAATGGCTCTGAAGAGGAGAATGCAAACCAGGCAACAAAAGTAATTGTGACATTACTTAACTATTGGAGCAACAAGTAAACTGCTACAAAGTGAACTGATGTTTTGTAAATTACAGTTTTCCACCACAGAAGGAACTGTCTATGCAGCTTGAAATACAAAGGACCAATTATCGACAACGATTGTGACAATCGTCACTTTCAAGAAGTGTGGTTTTGTAGGGATTTGCCTTGCGGGTATCACGGGTTTAAGTTCCAAAGGCGCTTTTTCCTTTATCAGTCCAAACATTTTTACCTATCTTATACTTACATGAAGCAACTAAAAATATTTCTAGACAAGATCAATCCTTGACAAGAAAATGTCAACTTCAAGAGTAGAAACCATTTCTTCTCTTGTATCACGAGCACGAGTCAGAGTCTATATCAAAGAATTTGTTCTATCAAAAATTTCAATGTTTCTAGTTAATTTTTTTTATTGAGTTGCACGAGCAGTGCAGAAGAAGTCGTTATAAGTAGATTGTGGTAAGAATCGATTAATTTTTAGATGCCACCCATTAGGGTAATATGAATAAACTCCTAATTTTGTTGTTCGTTATGTTTTTGTGTGATGTAGATTCTTTTCCATTATGTTTGCTTTCTCTGTTTGGTAAACGGACATTTTTCCACATGTATTGGGTCTGGTCTTCCCAAACACTTTGTTTATTTTACATATCAAAAGTTACCTGATTGAAAGAAAGACGCCTTGTCCTGCGATCTACAACCCATCTTGGGTAACTGGTATCTGTTGTTAACACCCAACTGTGGCATAAGAGGGAAGGGAACAGAAGTGTACATCGGGTCTGGGATCATTGCATGCGGATGGCTGTCGTGAAAGGAATCTCTAAAAAAGAACAGAAAATAACCGTTTTTAGTTGTTGCTTTGGGTAGGCGGTTTACGATAGCCCTGGAGGAGCGTTATTCTAAGGTACTTTGGTTCATCATCGTCGAAGTGAAGAGAGCAGTATTATTTTATATTTCGCAGAATGCTATGCATCATTCCGCAGTCTCAAAGGAATACGTTTTCTGATGACACTTGTCATTTCACGGTAGAAATAGAAGAAGGAGAAGGAGACAAAAGCTGTGTCAGAAAAAAACTGTTTGGAAGAAAACTAGGAATGTAATTGAAAGTACTGCTTCCAGTAGTGGGAACGGTAATAGACATTTTCAAAAGTTTTCTTCATCCGGTCTGTTATGTGTTTTCTAGACTAAGGATAACATAATCTTCAATTGAACAGAAACATCTAACCACAATTTGAATTACTCCAGTCTAGAGAACAATAGCATAGGTACTCAGTTGACAAACTCAGCTTTTGTTTGTCTGACCAAAGTTCCACCCACCTTTCTACTGGAATAAGACGTGCTGAGTCCCGGAAACCTTTGGCAAATGGATTGCTGTCTATTTTTAATCGTGTGATCTACAGAACGGAAAATTAAAGACGGAACTCTAGTAGTTATCAAACATATCATTAGGTAAGGATCACGCGAAAAGAAATTGACAGCGATGACTGAAAAAAGGCTTGCAAATGTGCAAGGAGACCATATCCGTTTCTTAGTTTTCTAGATTTAATTTGAACATATTTCCGATCACGATCCAGCTCTGTCATTTTTTTTTCCACATCGAAAATTACATCTTATGGTGGGAAAAAGCTTGGGTTGTAAGTTCACAGCGTTTCATGAAAAAAAAAACCTGTTTTGGTTTGTTGTTGACAAGCACACTAATACTATTAATTCCCTTCAGTTAGGCGATGGCATTTGCGTTTCAGGGTAGATAGCTAAGAGAGAAGGATCAAAGACTGTAGTTGTCGATGTTGCATGCGCTTTTCCTAATTAAATGATAATTTAATTAAAATGAAAGCAGGTAAAAAACATTTTGTTATTCCAAGGTTTGTCTGTTGTTCAAGTAGATTCGAACAGCTTGAGATTCGAATAAGGTGAATTTTGCGAAATGAAAGAAACGTAGGATTGAATGGAACAGTTCGCTTCCAATGACTTACCAGTTGATTTTGGTACGCTGTTACTCCGATGAAATTCGTCTCTGGAAAGGTGAATGTTTTCATCTCCTCGGACTTGAGATTGATTACAGAAGCTGTGTGGTCACGTTTACGAATGATATGCACTCTTGGCTGGTATTTATGCATGGAATTTAGAATAAGCTGCAAGGTTTGAAACCATAAGATATCATTAAGACGCTTTATGGAAGGATAGAGAGCTGAGTTATGAAGAAAACGTCATTTCATTCAGTGGCGTGTTTTCCCAATCTCCTAGGAGGAAACGACAGACACAGCAAACTTGGGTCAATCGATCAAGTTTCTGGCGCATAAATGTAGCTGGAATCTAGTTGTTTCTTTGAAATAGATCTCATGGCATAAGAATGGTGAGGATGTTAGGAAACTACAATTGTTTTCTCGTAGACGCTGCAAACGGGAAACGTAGTAAATAAAGAATACGAATTTGATCTCTGGCTATTTTACAACGAATGTCTTAGTCAAACTTAACGGCAGATATAATGCAGAAAGTGATACCGTTTAGAACTTACATGCCCATTACGGTCGCCGTCGTTGTTGGTCAGTTTTACTTTCTCGAACGATATGATCTGCTTTAACAGCTGCTCGCCTGTAAAAGGTGAATCTGGATGCATATAAAGTCTAACAGGAGCTGGTGGATCAGCCTTACCAGCCACAAGCCATGTTGAACGGTGGTAGGCGTATCTGTAGCGTTTGTCGTCAACAGGCACAATATCCATTAGGACCATGTAATTTGCTTTAGGGTTGACGCCGTTTACGGATATTCTTAGTGTGGGAAACATTCGCCTGCAAGCAAAGGGGCAAACTTCAAATTACCTGGCAGGATAATATAGATAGTTATTTACATAAAGTCCGTAAAGTTACGTGTCTGGCAAATTAAATCATCGAGATTGTGACTTACATCACTTATCAGGTGTCAAATCATAACTTTAGGTTCAGTAGTTTGTTTGCGTGAATGAGCTAATTCACACCCGTGAGAAACGTTAATGGCAAAATGTTGTCTGTTTGTGCGAAAGTAAAGAAGCTGTTTACAAAACAGCTCTTATCTTTTTAACAACTTTGACTTCCGGCACCGATTTATTAGCGGTTAGCGCATGGATCAGTTGGTGGCACAACGTAAACGCCGCTTTTTTCCAGGTTAGTACATTTAACATTCCAACAGTGGATGTTTCACCTTCCAGCCTTGGTGATGATCATTTCAGTTCCTAGTTCACTGAATCGTTCCCATAGCTCTTTCCCTTCCAATTCCACAGTTATGTTCTTCAACTCGTCCTTGAACGGGTTTTCGAACACTTCGCCGCCGTCTTCGTCGTCGGTGGCTACTTCACTTGACAAGGATTTCATCCTTTTGGCCGGTGGTGGCTGGGCGCTTTCGTCTTCGGAAACACTCTCTCTGTCCTTCGGAGACTCTCTTGGGTCTAAATGACAGAATACAAATTATGATTTGTAACACAATAACGAGCTCAGTATGCTTTGTTTTGAGGGATTCTTAGTACGGTACGTCCAACACGCTCAAAAATTTGCGCCACTTTGTGAAAATCTCAAAACGGATGACTTAGCTGATAAGTGTGTTAAAATACCAGCAACGGTTTTGAGCACTTACCAAAATCGCTTCGATCATCTCTGGAAGACATCAGAGAAGCTATGGAAAAAGCATTAGCCTTCAGCGAGAGTGGAGGTGAAGACTCCATTACGACTTGTTGTATACTTCACAGACGCTGCGTTCGTTTGTCGCACCCGATTCACGCAAGCTGCTAAGTTCTTTGGCAAACAGGCAATAAACAGCAATTAATACTTTGATGACAGCCTAGGTATTTGTCAATTCTTTTAGGGGAAGGCACTGGGACGAGACCTTGTCCCAAAATAGAACGTCAAATGCCACTCATTATGATACTCAACACGTCACATGCACATACGGAACGTATTATTGAATTTAGAGTTGCGATAATAAATAAATAAATAAATAAATAAATAAATAATTAGAAAGAACACCTCCTTGGTTATACTGTCGGGAGCTTGTTCTCCAAGTAAAAGAAAAAAGTTTTGCAGGAGCTTTTAATTTGCAAAATAATTATAAATTTGCTAAATACATCTAGTGTTTTACAACAGCAACAACAACAACAACAACAACAACAACAACGAAAAAAATCATGACCGTCATATTTTGTGGTCTTGCTTGTTTTGGTCCTTAACCAACAAAAACAAGGGCAGCTTTTCTAGGATAGCTTGCAGCCGCACCAGGAAAAGAAAAGTTAAGAAAGGTTTGTGTTAAGCGGGGCTGAGAGGCAAGGTTAGACCTCTCCTCTTTTGATGAAAGATAATAGCACCGAATCTAAAAGCTGACAATCTTGTCTATCCAATATTTCACGGCTCTTAAACTGAAGATCAATTCTCAACAGCGGCCTTCAAAACCAGCTGCGGAAAAAGTCGAGTTCCTCTGAAATTATCAAGATTTTTTGAATGTAAGACTGGTAGCGTGGTGTTCATGTTACTAACGCTGACCTTCGTTAAAGATAACCACTTTACACTGTTTAAACGTTTGTTTGTTTGGTATGATAGTTGACGGAAATTGGTAGCACCCCCAGATCGGTTTATTTATTTAAGATAGCGAGAGATCGGCGCAATTCAGAGCTTTTGGCCGATACACCCATCAATTTATGCATTCCAAGTTAAACACAAAACAGGCCGCCCTATAATTTTTTTCCTCTGTCCTTTTCCCTTGAAATAATGAAGGTAGATCATTACAAATTGCTCTCTAACAAAACGAGCTTTAGTTTAAAAATTTATACGGCACGAACTACCAACCTATTAACAATAAGATATCAACGAGGCACCACTATTCCGACACTATTGGAAATGCTAAAATTGCTTTGCTTTAAACAAAAGTGCGTGTTACCGTTGAGAGAGGAATGGCTGTTGACAAGGCTAACTTATTTTCCCACGCTGATGAGTATTTACTATCAGAGCCGAAGAAAGCACAGAGACGCCGACGAAATCCATCCAGTGCATTTGAAAAGCTTTTGATTAGGTTAGCTATTTAAGACAAAGAAACATTTCATTTATTCCGTGATGATGAGAACAAAGATCTTCATCCGATAGCAGTAGCAACTCGACACATCTGGATTTGTGGGAAAGACTGAAATTGCTCAACTTCCTGAGTTGACATTGTTCCTCCAGATCGATGGCCTTTATCAAGCGTTATTCTTGAAGGAAACGCGCTCACTCAAAAGCACATTCTTTGGATTTTTCGACGGATCTATGCAGGTCTGTAAAAGGGCTGAGTAATCCTCCACAGCAGAAAAGTCACACGTCCCTCTTGACCTGTGTTAAACCAATCTTGGCGTACATGAAACCAGACACCATTCACACCATACACTTAATTAGCTTAATATACTGATAAGAATCTAGATAAGTGTCGCATTAACATGAATAGGAACTCATTATTTCAATGAGTATAAGGTTTCAAGTCTAGCTAAATTTGCGCTCACGACATGCACAACGGAGGCAAGCGATTGTGACGAACAAGTCTGCTTTCAGAAGAATCCTTCAGGTAAAAGTAGATGGCTTAAAAACGCAAGAACAGGAAGTCGTCTTTAAACCATACCACTCAACTGCCTTTTACCAAGGAAAATCTATGAAGCAATGTGATTTGTACCGCAAATCTTAAAGTGATATGTTTTGAAAATGGCTATCCTCGCCTAAAGCGTTGGTGTAAACTATCACCATATGTTTCCAAATGGACAGACAGCTATTCGTTGTCTATCATCGCTCAATTAAGCTGTTTATTTATCAATCGTACTATGTTTTCAAAGCCGCGTGATGTGAACCGCCCGTGACGAGCCCGCAAAGATTTAGCTACATTGATCGGTCAGTACCATATCAATAGTATCATATAACGATGAAGTTTATTTCAATATTGAAAGTCTTTCATCTAATTTTCCTGATAGGAAATCTTCATTTAATCCTTAAGATTGGTTGCGTAATATTGAGAAATGATTGTTTGGTGAGTTCGAAAGATAATAGATGATAGCCGTTGAGTTGGTGACACTCCGTTTGGTGGGTGACGCAATAAAGGAACTAAAGCTTATAATGCTTTCCTTCCTGTTTCTGCAGAAATCAGTGTTTCGTTAAAGACAACAATGTGACCTAGTTCTGGAAGGTACATCATGTGTTTTATGTAGCGTGTTTCCCACACGTACACAAGGGCCCTTGCTGGATGACAGATCAGTTCAATAAATAAATGCAATTGTTTTTACATTATATTTATTATTATGATTTTATTACAATACAATGTGCTAAGCCGGGAGAAACTACTGAATTTAGCAATAATTTTTAAAATTTAAAGCTCTATGAAGAGAATGCTTTCAGGCCCTCGTTGAAATTTTTCAACTGTAAAACAAAATAAAGGAAAAATCCGGGACATTCGAAAAATCTTTCATCGCAAGTGTTTTCAAATCAATCACAGTGACTGGCTCGTCAAGAAACACTTCTGCGTTTTCCTTGAAGCTCGTCAATGCTGGTGTTCCCATGTATGTGGCCGGTGCATATATGTATAATATGTTTTCACAACACTATTCCTCACGGAAGGATGCTTGCCCAATGAAGGTCATTTTTAAACTCAGTTTTCAAACAAACTCGCGGGTTTGAATTGCCATTTACTTACGATAATAAATATGGATGACGAGAACTGAGCACGATGAGAGTAACCCAGAGGACAAAGCCGTAGTACTGAGAACGTTTCTTAGAGAGAAAAGCTTGTCACGCCGATGTTCTATACTGTATCAGTGATGCGAGAGTAGCAAAACACACGGAGTACTGGCCGTGGGCAAATTTAACATTTTAAAAAAGAGTAGCTTTCGCGTAAGTACTCTGCCACGACGATTTGCTCAATTAGAAACCTCTTCATGGGCGAGTAATGTTGTTCTTTAGCTGCACGAGGTTCACGAATAATGTTGAGATTTTATGAGTAAATCAACATCCCTACATTTCCAAATTTGACAAGAAGCGCCCCGAGGACAGCTTGTTAACTCCTTCAGTTCTTTTACAACAAGCACACTGACTGTCTGAACTAAAACGACCGCTCGATCATCATTGGAATGATCTAAACTGTGCAATTACAAATTTGAAGTATCACTTTTATCGTTTAGGGTACGTTTTCTTGAAAAGCATCGACAACATCAAGAAATAGTTTAAGAGTATTCTTTTGGGAAGTATTTTGTTAATATCAAAATCTACACTGAAACTCCTTTTGCCTAAAATTATCACACTGCTTTTGTTATTGAGGTAATCACGTCCACTGCATATTGCCGGATTTCAGTGGTCAGTAACTCTTATAGCTTTAGAATTATTTCAAAGGTAAAGTTTATGCACCGTCGGTAAGATGACTGTGCCCTGCTCAGCAGTCGTCTAGCCTTTCTCTAATCAAGGAAATACTACATAATACAGCCTACTTAGGATGCGTTAGAAGGATTTAGAAAAATGAAAGCCGTCTAGGCCACTGGTCTTCGGGTCAACGGCTGAATGGGAGATTTCTCCTTCCATTCACCTCTTGGTTTTAGTATATAGCGGAATATGTAACATCATCTCTCAGCTTCTCTGTGGAGACAGCTGCCGGAAGGCATTTATTCGACATTTGTTTCAATTCCACAATTCTATGATTAAGGAAGGGCTTCACTCGACCTTGAGTGCTAAACATGGTGGGTGCCTGATGGCCAACAGGCGGTAACTCTCAACATCTGGATTGAAATCCACGCCTCTTTACTGAGGCCACCTCATGCAGCAGGCCGCACATGAATCGCGTCGCCGCCGTACGCTTAACATTTGGGTATGGACCTGCATACTTTGCAAAGTCAAAACTCGTCAGTCTTTCCACGAGTATCAGTTTTTTGGTTGACTGTTCTTGCCACGGTTTCCATCGATCTTCATTGCATGTAAGTGATGTAAATAGGCCACTGAAGGATCATTTGTTGTCTGCAGCCTATGGTGATAGGCTGATTTCTGTATTGAAGTAGTATTCGTATTTAAGGTTTGTTTGTGACAAGGTCGCCGTAGATATTGCAATGAGGTGGCTCCTACGAACGTAGCTTCTCTAACTGAAAGGTATTTTGTTGCTCTTTGCCTTACGACAACTCAGTGTTCGCCCCGTTTTCAAGGGGAGGGTCCGTGAAGGATCTGACGTCTCTACACTACTGTTGTTGCCCAGTATGAATTGGCCAGGAGGCTCTGTTTCACAAAAACAGATATTTCTTTCGTTTTGAACAAGTCAAATTTTGCTGCTGTTCGTTGGATTTCTCGCCCTTTTGTAATGTGCTGATAAACAATCCATCTTGATGCAGAAGAGTAAATGCAGAAACACAATCGAGCCAGTTCGTCTGGCAGGGGATGTTTAAAGCCACTCAGATGTTTAGCGTACCATGTCTGAGCTAGGACGTTTGTTTACTATAAATGTTATTAGGTTCTTTTTGGTTGGTAATTTGTGGAGTTAAGTCTTTGTCGCTTGGTTCATGATGTAGTCTTCAGATTGCTAAGTTGCAGGTGAGAGACAAACAACAAACGAAACGAATGACTATTTTATGATGGAATACTAGCAACCATAAACAACACAAGCGGAATTCAGGGCAACGTTTTAAGTCAAACAAAACGAGTTGTTTTAAGTTCGGCCTTTGTTTTTGTTGGACATGACAATCCGTTATTAATCAATTTATTAAGTTTTGCAACACTTTCAAAATACTATTCGCTATAACTAGAATGGAGTCCTATTTTAGAGCATTTGGAAAATAGTCCTGAACCTGACATGTCTAAGAATCGCGTGACCAAACCCTTAAATTCAACAAGGGCTACTGCCAAAATACGAGTACAAAGTACTCGAACACATTCGGTGTTTCCGTACGAAAAATGGATTATTAGTAACAATTTATGACTATATTTGGCGTTGAAAAATGCGCTCTCATGCCACTCTTTCTTGACTAAGGTTACGTTTCATTCGTTTTGTTCAAGATCGCGACTGTTAAAGTTTTGTAACTGATATCATGGCGTATTGGAGGGTTTGACTGAGAATGTCTGCTAAAGAAATAATCGATAAACTAAATTGAAATGGACTGCTTGGAAATAGAGTCAACAGTAAATATAGGCAAGGCGTGTCGCGATAGTGTTGAACAGTTAGGTAACTAATCTGCCGGCTTTGTTCTCATTTTTCTCTAAGGATAAGTGTGGCAGCCTAATAAACGTAAAACATGCAACTCGATCGTTTGGGACTGCCTCTCGCACGGAAAGCCTAATTTTCCCACGGTGGATTGAGATTACAACATTGTTTAGTGAAGGAGGTATCTTAGCGCTGGTTTGGCAGAGAATGCCATGAAAGCTTAAAATTCCTTCGAAGTTTAATTTACCGCTTTTAGGAGGCGGGTAGCTAATCTGTTGTTGTGTAGAAAACCTCTTCCCACTTTGAATTTAAGCACAGCAATATTTCTTTAGACTTCCTTGTCTGGAAAGTGCGGGTGGTATCCAAGACGTGCCACTCCGACACAACTCCTACGTGTATATCCACCAACAGTGCGTTATCACGAGTCTTATACAGGATTTTAGAATCTTAGGACGTCATACGGCGTAAATATGTTCACAAGAGGGTGTCACCACGTTTCTCAATATCCTAAATTCAGCTTAGTAACTAATGACTATACTGTCGGCCAAAACGATTATCGTGCTTTACCAGTTTCCGCCGCACACTCAGTATTAGTTGGGGAGGTCATAAACCCTCTGTACTAACATTTCAGGGTTTTTTCCTTCAGATTGTGTTACCTGTGCCTACACCATGATGGCAGACGTCTACGCTGACATGAACATTCCTGCTGCAAACGCCTTCTAAGCTGCGACATGAATTGAACCACGAAAGCTGCATGGCATGTTGAGCCTGTTAGAAGCATTGGTGAAGCATGGAGAAAGAAGGCCAGCTAGTGACGCTGCCCTCCTGCCACACGTTCTTTCCGCCGCTAAATTTGTCGGATGCTGACCATCTCTTGATCGGGTTATAGGAGATTAAATTGTGTGATTGCATCTTTGTGGTTTGTCTGGTCAATAAATTAATGGGGTGCAGACATTTCCTCGCTTGCGTTTCCTACCATAAGCACCAACACCTTATAATTTTGAAAATGTCCCTTGGCAGTCGCTATAATTTGGAATAGATCTACTTAATTACTTGTGGACAAAAATAGTTGATGGACGCTGCTTGTGTTACCGTGGTAGCGTCATGGTTACGTGGTTATGGGGTAGATTACCTTATCATAAGCTGCCTCGTATTCTTTTAAAAGGTATAGAAGCATGATTTGTGACTTAACTGTATTAGACGGTGTTAAAAACTTTACCTAAATAGGTACGTTTTCTCTTAACTCTTTTTTTAGGGTACCTAGACAAATCTATTTTTGGTCATCGATGACGTAATAAAAGAAAAAAAGAACACGTAAACACAAGAAAAGTCAATTGGATTGATAAAGTGCGGTCAAATCCCATTATACTTTCAGGGCTGCACCAATTGCTTTTGACATCATTCAGACCTAGAAACTTTAGGTACGTACGTGCGCTTTGATGGAAGTTCTGGTAACAGAAATATTTAACTATCTTGTGCATGGCAGAACTGTAAGGAATTTCGTGCCCTAATTTGGCGATACGTTCCCAACCGCATAATTCCGGCTCTCATGAGTGTTCATAATCACTGGCTTGGTCGCCATGGAGTTTTAAGCCGATAGTCAGTAAGCCTTTACATTCACCTGACAATTAGCAAGGCATTATCTATATAAGAAGGATGTACAGGCCTTAGATTAAGAGAAAAGAAAACACAGAAACAAGAAAAATACATATGTGGCAAACGGCTTCCGCTCTGTGGTCAAATGAGTGTGAAAGAAAAAAAAACACACTTACATTTTACTAAGTATGTCCTCACGTAACAGAAAAAGTAATATGGGTATGGGGTACATGCAATTTATTGTACGTTGTCGAGCAGCTCTTATACCTAGGATATTTTCGAATGATTTCTTTCCCGTATAACATTTCAGTGTTACTCATATCAACCTTAACAACTGGAAACATCTACTTTCATATAGTGATAATGAAGTATATACTGATGACAGCTGTAAATATTTGCTTTCTTCGATGTCTACTTCGCAATTCAGTCTCACCCACTAACCTTTCTCCTCACACTCGCCATCAGAAAAGAGCTCTTACACTTATAGAAACTAATGCGGGCTGTTTTTGCTAGACAGAGAAGCAAATTTAAGAAATACCAGCAAGGTGTTCATAAGGAGAAAAATTACTCCGTTGAGAGTTTGAAAATAAGATTGAAAAACATCTAGTGGCTCTTTAGTCAAAGATATAAACTGATATATTATCATACTGTTCACGCCGTTGTGAGCCGAACGTTCATGATCGTACATCTTTGGTCAGACACCTTCCACAATTTTCCCCTCACAATTATAATACTGTCGAATATTTCAAATTTTCATGCTCTGTCATCGGCAACTCCAAAACAACTTTTAAAAATTGTGACATGAAATATCAGGGCTGGCATTCGATAAACAGGTTGAAAACTTCATACTGCGATCCACGGAAATCCTTCTTTATCGCGTTATCACAGCATCTCAGCCTCGCTGGGTTGTCATCGTGTTCATTAAATAAGTATTTCTATTTCTAGACCGTGAGAGCGCGAGGTTATCACCCTTATTAAGTTTGAAAAGAACGTGATGACCTTTCCAAAGAATTAATCAACAGAATACTAAAGCCTTTTTCTTCCCCACGCTCGCAGCGGTAAATTAGGATTAACAACAGTCGCACCTTTCTGTTATTGTTAGCACATAGCCATAGGAAGTGTTAAATTCTAGAAAAGAATTATTTCCCACAATTGAATGAACTCCTCGAACACTGCCCAGACAGACTGGGCACGGAAGGACGAAATGAGAGGGGCACTGTTTTTCATTTTCGTGTTCCATATGTTCGCACTGTTCACTCCTTCAGGGCCTGGTTACGATTAGCATATCATTCCTCTTCAAACTAAAGAGAATACAAAATAAACGAGAACATCGAAAATGGGAATTGCTTTTTACCACAATTCTTTTCTCACTGGACGGTGGAAAAACATAGAGAAAATAATTTATTGTTTATTATGGAGAAAACTTGTTTCTAAAAGAAAGAACAGGTGACAACAACAACAGCAAAAATAATAAAAACGACAAACTTAAAAAATACAGAGCAGTTAATGGCCTAAAATAACCCTAGGGGGCAAGCGATTAAAATAATCCAGTGTCTTGGTAACATGCCAAAGAAAGGAATGCCTGAAACAAAGTAAGTCCGGCTAAAAATAAGGGCCGGAGGTTATACCTTTGTTTTCTATGCCAAGTTCATTAAACTGTTCACAAGTTAAAGGAGATAAAAAGCCTTTAAGGAGCATGACAAAAGGTTGTCAACGAAATGCTTCCTCATATTGGTACATCGCATGGGTATTGAAATTTCAGCAAGTAATAGTCTGACCAGAGCCAAGAAATAATATATGTCAACAGAGAATGCAAAATAAATACATAAATAAACAAATTAAAAAATAACACAGCCCATCTCGTGCCAGTGTTGCACTCCTTGGTGGCCCAGAAAACTGTCTGTATTTTATTAAGCCAGTTTTAAAGAGCATCTTTTCAGCTGGGAAAACAATTACCGAAGTTAACTAGCCTATTCAAGGCTCAAAGACTAATGAACGGACTTTTTCAAGGAATCTTGTACAATGATTAAAGCAAACAAAGAGAGGGGCGGGATTAGCTATAGGGATAACGGCTACTTGGCTCGTTGAACCTTAAAGCCTGGAACAGGCTTCAGTCTTAAGCACACCAAATTTGCCAAACGTGCAGAGCAAAATTAAAACTAGAGATTTGAAGAAATGAGTGATAACTTGTTTCCATCAAACCTTGCCCCTCCGACAGAAGAGCTTTTAAAATTAATCGGTAGTTTAAAATACCATTAATCTTTGTCAATTTTTCTTTGTCATTCGGAAATTAAGGTCATCGCCTTTCCTGTAAACTTGGCAAAAGCAAACATGGGTATGTGCTGTTTGGAACGTGCTCTAATATTTTTGACTGTATTAAATTGAGCTTAATTTACAGAAGGAGCCCATCTTTGATTAGTAAGTTTATTTCTAATTTCTATGATTATGATTATGACCTGATCTCTTCAAGTCAGCATCGGTTTTGCTTCAAAAGGCCAGTGTGTTCGGAATAGCGATGTCCGCGAGTCGAGTGGCGTCATTGAAATTTGGATCCCCGCAAGACTCAGACAAAGAAACCGGAATGGCGCAGGGTTTGACGATCTAGTAATCTTATCGACGGTAAAATTTTCACGGGAACGAGTATAGATCCAGCGTTGACAGCGTTCGATTCCTTGCGATGGCTTCGGAAAGGGTATCAATATTTTCATACCCCATTCCAGCATTTCTTTCAGGGCGTTATGCAGTTTTTCGGGACATCTGGCATCACTATTTAGGACCCTCCTGAAAACCACCTCTTGGCCTGATTGGAGTCCTCCTCTTAAAATATTAATTTTAACTATTGCATGTTCCCCAACGGTAGTTCTTGGTACCACCCATATTGAGCGAAATGAGGTGGTTAAGGTACGTTTTTGAAATGAACTTCGGCTAAACTACCTCTATTCCTCTCAGAGCACGCTAATGTTGTCTCAGTCTCTAAATATAATGCAATCTTTTTTTAGACCTCGCTTTGCTATTGGACTGGAACTAGCATGCAATGGAGGCTCATGCGGGGATATATCATAAAAACAAGATAAATACCATTTTCATTTGTAAAGTCTTAGTTACAAGCAAGTTCCAGTTCAATTATGAGAAAATGAGTATGGCCTATTCTGAACATGGGCATTTTATTAATAAGCCACTTAGAATTTTTTCAATTTTAAACATGGCTTCGACTAGAGGCTCAGGGGACTAATACCACTGAACAATCTCTATTGTTTTAATCCCCCTACCCCACCATGTTAGAACTTTAATGTATCAAAATCGGTCTCTTCTGGTAACAAAGAGAGAACTATGCTTGCCGAGACATTTCCTTGCAGAAAAGCCTCTAACTGTGATATTGAACAGTTTGTATTCATAATTTTTAAAGAGGTTTTAAATCGATTTCTTTAAAACTACGCAAGGACGCTTATGATAGTGATTATTACGTTTTTTTTTTTTTT